GGGGGGGGGGGCGTCAGGAGCGCTCTCATTGGTCCCTTGAGATGTTCTCACGCCCCCGCCCGCGTGCGTTCCCCATCATTGTCCCTTTTCAACATTATTGTTGTTTTGTTTTCAGGCCCGAGTCTGACGTCCGCGCCGTGGTGGTGACGGACGGCGAGCGCATCCTGGGGCTCGGCGACCTCGGCGCCTACGGCATGGGCATCCCCGTCGGCAAGCTGGCGCTCTACACGGCGCTCGCCGGCATCAAGCCCAGCCAGCTGCTGCCCGTCACCCTGGACGTCGGCACTAACACCCAGGTGAGGGGACAAGGGTTGAAAGTCCTGGAAAGTTTCCGGAAAATTTCCGGAAATTTGCCGAAAAAATGAGGAAAGTTTCCGGAATTGTGGAAAAATTCCCAGGCCCCGGAATGTATTTTTGTTTTGTTTTTTCCCGAAAATGTTCGGAAATTTCCAACCCTAGAGGTAAATTTTCCAGAAAAGTCCAAGTTTTTCCGAGGAATAAAAACAAACATTTGTTCGAACCTTTCGAACTATATAGGCATATGCCAGGTGCATGGACGAGGGAAGGTGTACATGGGCCATCATAGAAAACAGGGGGGTTTCTTACGTCATCTCATTGATTTATTTGCAAGTTCTCGTCAAACGAACATTGGTTTTAAAACTTAGAGTGCATAGTAGTACATGTCCTCCTTGGGGTAGAAGCGACCAAAGCTGCGGTAGTAGCTGCTGGGGCTATAGAAGAAGTTGCGCTTGGGGTAGTATTCGGAGTCGAAGTAGTTGCCGAAGCGGGGGTAGTACTCGCTGGGGTAGTAGCGGCTGGAGACCGGCAGCGCAGACTCAGAGTAGAAGCGCTTGGAGATGGGGAGCTCGCTGGAGTAAGAGCTGACGATAGGGGCCTTCTCGTAAAAGCGGCTGGCGGGGAACTCAGTGGAGTAAGAGCTGACGGTGGGGGTCTTCTCGTAGAAGCGGCTAGCGGGGAACTCAGTGGAGTAAGAGCTGACGATGGGGGCCTTCTCGTAGAAGCGGCTGGCGGGGAACTCAGAGGAGTAAGAGCTCACGATGGGGGCCTTCTCGTAGAAGCGGCTGGCGGGGAA